GATCCTGTAGAACCATTTGCACCTGTTGCTACAGGTATGCACTTGTTTTCTGTTCTTTAAATTTGAATTAGAGATCTTCTAAACTTTTTGTCATCTGTTTCCTTTTTTTTAATGGGTCAATTTGGTGTGTCTGTGTTTGCAGTGTCTAAAGAACCGAAGCAGGATGAGGTGGTGGGCATCTCTGTGGCAGCAGGGGTATTCGGAGGCCTGTGCCTCATCATGCTGGCTGTGCTCATCTACAAGATCCGCAAGGACAAGTTCAGTGCAGACAAATCAAGCCTCTTCCACTGACAGCTCTCAAACAGATACCATTCTTCTCCACTGAGATGGTTCGCTCACCACCATGAAAGTTGTTCTCATAGACACTCTAAAAAGGGTTTCTGCATCTAGACATGTAGTTTGGTTAAGCTCAAGGTTTAGAGGACAGGACTGGGATGGCGAGTAGATGATGCCATAAGGAAGAACAACCACTGGTATAAATAGGTCTGTGCCTTACAGTAATAGTCTACTGAATGGATTAGATGATTTGTCAATTTTTTTGCATGCCAATGTTCATTATGATTTTTGGGTTTTCTGTAACAAGGCATTCTTGTAAAAAAAGTATTTTGCTATTGTAATAAGAACAATTAAAGCAACACCAAGAAATATTTATGGTTGTAAACACGACTTCACATACTCAGATTTGTGCTTGTTACAAAATTATATACATTTAAAATTAGATTTTTTTTTAAAGAATCTAAAATGGCCTATTTGAACTTCATGCTACCTTCATAACTTTCATAACCAGCATGAAGGTTAATTAAAAAAAAAATTGCAAAATGCGCAAAGAAAAAAAAAAAAGAGAGACTTTATTAACAGTTTAGAAACCATCTTCTCCCATTTCCACATTTTTCTCTCCACACAGACTTGCACGTGAAAACATGTAAAAGACAAAACCAGTGAAGACATGAAAGCAAAAAAAAAAAAAGTGTGTGTGAAACTCCTTTGATGTCAGTGCAGTGCATACTATTCATACTGAAGTTCATAAATACAGGAGATGTTTGACATAGAAGATGCTCACAGGTACAAACGTCTGTTTTGGGAATGGAAAAAAGGTGAACCAGCAAAAATAAACAGAAGATTTTGACAAGATGTGATAAACTGCTAAGCAACAATCACATTTCCTTAATATACATTTCTGGACGCAAAGTTGTCATGAGTCAGAGGACATGACATAAACGACCATTTCAAAATGATCTGCGTTTACACACATAAAGGACAGCACGTTTGCTTTGGTCAAGCATGCCATTTTGATTTCCTTGTGACTCAAACAGACAGGAGTCATGTTTCTGAGAGGGAGAAGATCATTAATTCATGGATTAAGAAGCAAAATTAAACCAATGGAAGAAGCACAAAGCTTTGAGTTGGGATTGGTATTTTCTTTTGGCTCAGGGTCACTGAACTAAAACTATTGAAAAACACCATTGTCAAGCTGTTCCAATTTGCTGAGGGGGCTGGGGGAACAAAAAAGGAATTTTGAACCACTTAACAGAGTCAATAAATATAACAAAATAACTTTAAAGAATTCCAGATGTTATAATTCATCCCCTATATGGTTTTCTGATTTACTGCTCTCTGTTGATTCTGCCAAAAAAGAAACATATTACATTTTTTACAAAGCCATTCAATCAATAGATTCTGTTATTTTTGATCACAGAGCTAATTTTGAAATGATTTTGCATCCACACTGATGTCTGGATGATTAGTGGACTGTGAATTACCTGTATCCGTGTTTTCGGCTGGATTTAGTTCAAGTATGGTTTCTTCTTTTTCTTCAGCAGTTGGAGGCTCCTCTGCCGGTTTCACCTCTTCAGCTAAAAGCACAATTCATACCAGATTTACTGCATATTAACAGGAAAAGTAACTAAACGAAGAGTTGTAAAATCTATATTAGGGGTCTACTGATTTGATCAAATAAAATTATGCCAAAAAAAAAAAAACACTCTCACCATCATCGCTCTTGGGGGGAATAACCTTCTCTGCATCTTCTGTGCTGTTAGCTGTGCTGTTAGCATTGCTGTTCTCGGTGGAGGTGGTGTTCTTGTCTTTAGCCTTATCTTTAGGCTTTGGTTTGGCAAACTTTGCTTTGTTCAGCAGGTAGTTGACCTCCCTGTCCAAGAAGGAATGCTTAGCTTCAATGTCCTTAGAGAGCAGAACAGGTTTTTCTGTTGGGGACAGTTTTTCCTGTTCAGCAACGGTCTCGTTCTTCCAAGTCTGCAGTAAAAACAAAAAAATGCAGGAGAGAATCAAAAGAGATTATTGGGTGGAACTGACGAGGAAGGATGAAAGAAATAGGAATGTGGGGAAAGAAATGTAATACATACCATTGTTTCATTGATGACCCTCTCTAGCATCTTCAGTTCAACCTCCGTGAAGATCTGGTCACCCTCAGGAATCAGTCTAACACTCCTATGAACAACATCCCATGTAAGTTACAAGGCAGTTTTCATTTATTTGGACATGTCACAGACAAGAGTACCAAGACAAAAAGAAATTCATTTAAAAATAAAATAGGCATAATACACAAGGTATACATAAATAATATATATATTTTTATTAATAAGAATTAAAATAAAGGCAATGAAATTAATAAAAATAAATGTATTAAATAGATATATTTACATATTTGATTCATATTTACATATGTTCAGAAATGTAGTTTTCTAAGAATTATTTGAAAATGTTTTATTTTATATCCATTTTTATGTTTATTTAAAAATAAAAAGTAATACGGTAATAAAACGTATAAAATAAATTAAATATTTACATATTTAATAAATGTAATATAAAAATTATTAAATATTTTTAAATCTATTTTATATTTAAAATACATCTATTAAATGAATAAATCTATTACAATACTTTTACATAGATTTTTTTTAAATAATACATTTAATACAATTAATTTACGTATAAATTCAATACTTTTAATTCTATTTTTCTACATTTTTATTTATTTATTAAGAAAAAGAAAACGGATGAAGTAATTGATGCAGCTCTCACTCACTTGAGGAAGATGGTGGAGTGGTTGAGCATGCTGTCGAGAGCTGCCAGTCTGTCAGGCCATTTCTTCCTCTCCTCCACTCTGAAGAACATGGCTTTACAAAGTTTTTTTAGTTCAGACAGCTTTTCCTTAAGCTCCTTAGTGCCAGCGGTGTACCCCTCCTCATCCATCCAGTTAGAAGCCTCGCTCAGCTTGCCTGTGATCTGCTCTTTCTCCTCCTCAGTCACAACAGCCAGATACTCATCCTGATACATCTTATCCTAGACCGAGAGAAGGAAAAAATTAACTAGATTTGTTGTAAATTCAAAGGAATAGTTGGCCTAAAAAGGAAAAAAAAAAAACTATTTTGAGGTTATAATAGCTATAATAACTGTCGTGCAAAATCCTTCATCATACAGCTATAAGCCCACTATAGATTTCACCTAAAGCTCTGCAAAATAAAGCTTTTTAGGCCTGGACAAAGAAAGTTCTTCTTTGTCACGCCACTGGATCTGAGTCACAACTCAAACACTGGGAACGGCTTCAGAGAGCCTCATTATACCTGCGTCTCAAAGATAAAAGCCTCCAGGCTGTTCAGGGTCTTTTCTCTCTCCTGCTTCTCCAGATCGCGGTCAGTGAGGTCCTGCAGCCTGATATGAGGGAGGAACACATGGGAATTCTTCAGAGATTCTTCACTTTCTATAGAGTGTCTGTCCCATTTCCCGCTCTGTCCCATTCCCCAAGTTAATTAATTCCGAGAAGCAAGCAAGACACACTTACTTCTTTTTGGACACTTCCATGTCCTCTGTGCTGGGATCGAGAACATCGTTCACCTCAAGCTCCACCGTGATGTCTTCTGATATTTTGCTCTTTTTCTGTGGTTTGGATTTCTTGTCTGCCTCGGTCTCCTCCACTTTCTCAGCGTCTGATTTCTCTTCAGGCTTTTCGGCGTCGGTCTCTCCCTGTGTGATGGAGGTGAGAGTTCAATTCTAGACAGATTTCAGAACTAAATCAAATGGAGTAACTCGCCAGTGGCTGGTCACTTTATATGAATATAATACATTGTTCAAATTGAAATTTAAGAATTATAGTCTGACCCTTGCTGAGGTAAGTGATGCGAGTAATTCACATGTTCATGTTTTTGTAACAGGTGCACTTTTACAGAGGGGCAGAGATTTGTATATGGTCCTGGTGGCACAATATAACGCAGTTTGTCACTACACTTGAAACTTGAAGTTTGTCCCACATTTGAAAGTCTATGATTGACTGTATAAGGTTTTAAAAAAATAAAACGTATACATACATATATATACACTGAACAAAATTATAAATGCAACACTTTTATTTTTGCCCCCATTTTTCATGAGCTGAATTCAAAGATCTAAGACTTTTTCTATGTACACAAAAGGCCTATTTCTCTCAAATATTGTTCACAAATCTGTGTTAGTGAGCACTTCTCCTTTGCCGAGATAATCCATCCACCTCACAGGTGTGGCATATCAAGATGCTGATTAGACAGCATGATTATTGCACAGGTGTGCCTTAGGCTGGCCACAATAAAAGGCCACTCTAAAATGTGCAGTTTTATCACACAGCACAATGCCACAGATGTCGCAAGTTTTGAGGGAGCATGCAATTGGCATGCTGACTGCAGGAATGTCCACCAGAGCTGTTGCCCGTGAATTGAATGTTCATTTCTCTACCATAAGCCATCTCCAAAGGAGTTTCAGAGAATTTGGCAGTACATCCAACCGGCCTCACAACCGTAGCCCACGTGTAACCACACCACCCAGGACTTCCACATCCAGCATCTTCACTTCCATGATCGTCTGAGACCAGCCACCCGGACAGCTGCTGCAACAATCGGTTTGCATAACCAAAGAATTTCTGCACAAACTGTCAGAAAGATGGATGGATTGTCTCGGCAAAGGAGAAGTGCTCAGTAACACAGATTTGTGAACAATATTTGAGAGAAATAGGCCTTTTGTGTACATAGAAAAAGTTTTAGATCTTTGAGTTCAGCTCATGAAAAATGGGGGCAAAAACAAAAGTGTTGCGTCTATAATTTTGTTCAGTATTATATATATATATATATATATTATACTACTACTAATAAAGTATCATTTGTATTATTAATCAACATATTAGATATTACAGTACATTGAAATAATTTAAGAGAATTAAGATAATCTACAAGAAACTCTAGTCAGGTGTTTCAGCAGGTGTTTGGCACTGCACATTGTATAATAAAACATGAGGAGAAGTCAAAAGTCCCTCCTGAGAATAACAGGGCGGAACTAGTGAAAAAGTCTCATGAAAGCCCAGAGGTTCTATAATCATTCTGCACCTCTCCAGAAATGTGAATCATCTCACTTGAGTTTCCGCTTCATCTTCTTTGTTGTCTTTCTGTTCCTCTGCCTGAGGCTCTCCCTCTTTTCCCTCCTCGGCCTCGGGTTTCTCCTGGGCAGACTCTTCCTGTTTCTCTGACTGGTCCTGCTCTTTCCCAGCCTCTGGAATCATTTCTTCTTCATCCTGAA